TATTGTTACAAAGTAAAGAACAACTAGCTTATAACTATAGTGTTAACACTACTGCACAGTTCACTATTCTGTTTGTTTCATCACTCTTCATTTCATCATTGTTCATTTACTTTCATAAGGATTTTCTAGAGAGTTAATATACTCACTACTCTAATTGAAATTGCTTTCCACACATCTCTCAACATCGCTATACTTCTCCATAAATTGCCGGCATCTGGTCTAAATTCACCACACAACTGTTGTTTTCTCCTCGAAAATTTATTTTTCGGGTCCCGGGAATCCGTCCATTAATATAACATGTTATTCCTTTCTGGATTTTTTACTCTTGGTTTACGTCTTTCTTATATTAATTTAGTTGTCTTTGTAACATCTGCTTTCCTTATTCTGTTCTGAAGCATTACACTGAGTATTTGTTTCTCTATCCAAATTATTAATCGATTACTCTCGTTGACATTTAGTGATCATTCCGTTTCCCAGAGAAAAACCGAAATTATTCCCCCATCGGAAACAACTTCCTTAATTTTCGTGTTTCCTTTTTTATTGGCCAGAATAACGAAACAACATAATAAATATTACACTGGTACAAAATGAGTGTCACTCATAAAATGGTTTCCAATAATAGGCCTGAATTGATTCGATCATCTGAGGGGTTTTAGTCAATGTCTCTTTGATAGTCAACAATGGCGTTTACAAAATAAACGCCATTGAAATTTCAGAGAACTTTTATTTAATAGAAATTTAAGAAATAATAGTTTAGAAAATAAAAGATAAATATCAATTCAAAGAGGCAGATTTAATGAAGTCCTCTCCCATAAACGAATTAGATAATATATCAAGAATTACATCATAGATAAATAAATAGATTGATAGATAGATAATATGGCTTGGTGCTTCACTTGCGGCTAGGTGTAAGAAGAGTTAATGTCAAATATCAAAGTTTTACAGAATGGATGGTTTTCTCTTTTGGGAGAGCACTAGATCTAAGTTACAACTTCTATATATTTTACTATTTCTGGTAAGGTAATAGTTTTTTAAAACTTTATATCGTTACTTTTAATTCGGCCAATAAAGTTGTATTAAATTTGTTTTTTTAACTTTTCTATGACATTAATTTTGCTGTCGATTCCGATCATAGATCTTTGACCTGATAAAAGCCCCACTTAGCTGTGTGAAGGGGTGAACTAGGGTATTATATTCCTTTTTAATTTAATGTAATAAGTGTTAAAATTAAATATATCTGAAATTTTTCTGTCCTTTACTTCTTCCTTCTATTCTTTTTTATATAATTGTCATCCTATCTTTGAAAAAATTTAATTATTCTTTATTTTTCTTGAATAAATAAACAGTTGTATAAACATGGTTTCGAAATGGTTTCGAAAAGTATGAATATAATTTTTACAAGAACAGTAGAGAGAATTACTCTTGTGTTGTGCGATACACTCATTTGAATACTAGTCAAATTTAGTTGCACATTATAAAAACAAAAGCTTAATTTAGAGTATACTATTACTTAATACTAAAGACTAAAGAAATAACACTTAAGAGCAGAACAATTTCAAAAATAGCAAAGAAATAAATGACTAAATTTATTAATGTTTCCATCTGAATGAATGTCAGTTGGTCTTCTGTCCCTTCATAAATGTTTAGAAATGCTTCAAAGTACAATATGCAAAGAAAGTCTCGCCGCACCGAGCCGAATCAGGCCCTCCTAGTAAAAATAGTATTTATTTTGATAGTAACCAGATTACTGGGAAAAAAGTATAGGGGACAACACTTCCAGAATTTATTATGATATTGGCGAGTATGCAATTTACGATTTCAAGCGTCAGCTCGAGTTACCAACATAATTTCTGTTGCAACCTCTCTCGCCAGCAAGGTGCTACTGCGGGAAAACTTTCCTGGCGCGCTGTATATTCTGTTGGTTGAATGTGTGGCTAATAGAAGATCCTTGAGCTTTGTGGATAATATTGGAAGAGGTTTATCAACGAGGGGGCGGACTTTAATGAAATGTAATATTTTTCTTATCACTGTAGAACAATACCGTTTATTTTAAAAATTAATTTTATGTTATGACAAACAGAAGTGACACATTTGTATACGCCATTTTTTGCATTTTTCGTCTATTTTGACTAATAAAACATTTTTTACCTTTTTCCATCATTTTTCGATAATTTCATAGATTTTAATATCATTTTAATGTTACTTGCTTCAAACAATATATACGTGATGCAACAAATAGTCTCCACAGGATTCCTGAATAGCCTATTTGATTTTTTTGCTCAGTAATTGTATTATCGCACAATGGTAGAGCACAATGGTGTGTATTTAATCTAAGGTTCCTAAGACGCCTAGCATCGCCACTTCTGCCGATTTGGGGATTCCTGAAGACAGAGGCTTTCTGGTAAAGAACAGTCCAAACCAAGAGTTTGGAAGCTAAGTTCACTTGCACGAATGGATGAAGCCTGGAGTACATCAGTAACATATCCAATAGCTTAAGTTGTTCATCCGAACACGTTTTGATCACATTCTTATGTCATTTTTCTTTGCTTTGAGGACATTTAAAAATATTTCAAGAGCATTTTATTGCTTATTTTTGGCGATGTTTTAGATTATCAACATCCGTCGATTATTTATGACTAATAGGCTCAAAAGTTTTTGACTGATATTACTCGGACCCTTCTTTCCTGTGACCAGCTCTCTTTATGTTTCTTCACCAAAGCTGTACTTACACAAAATTCAGTGGTCTGACAGATTCAGTGAGTATTGTATATTTCCAAATATTTGCATACTACAAAATTTTCGAAGTCTACATTGGACCTTCTTACACCATCTATACGACAAAACAATCGTAGGCCAATATAAAAATCGATAGTTAAATCAGGAGGTAGGATTGACTTTTGACTTTGACCTTTTTTCACTGAAAGAAGGGACTTTAAAGCTCATAACTTTTGACTTTTGACCATAAAAAATGATGGAATGAGAAGAAATCAAACTCGCATTTTATTAATCGATTGTAATTAATAGTAGAACACTATTTAATTTCTTCAATACTAAATTGTTGTTTTTTCTTTTCAAAGTTTTCTTCATGTGTAACAGGTTCTCAAGTTAGGGTGAGCGGTCCACAGGGGACCGCGAAATAAATTTAGAGAAACCCTGAAGGTTTTCACTTCACAAGTGAAGTTTTAGGCTATTTGCGATTGTTGCCACGTTCCATGGAGGAATCCAATTGGGTTCCTCTGATTTTGTTTCATATATACTGGTAAAATATAGCTACTTGTATAATCGTTTAGGCAGACTGCGTTCTCGGAATGCGACTGAGTATGCATCGGATATTAGCTCCACTGATGTCTTTGAATGTTATAGAGTCAACAATCTATTTCGATTCAGTCACATGTTTATATCTTGAACTTTTATTTTATTGCCTTTCGTTTTTATGTCTATATCTCAAATCTCCCAGAGTTTGTCAAAAATGTTTTACTGTACTCCGTATCCTAGCTAATTGTAGTTTATTTCAAGGTGTCGCAGATGAAATCTAAAAAATTGAAAGAAAATGCCATGCAACAATGAGGTAATATGATTGTATCTTTTTGTCGAGAGTCGTCACAGGAAACCAAAGAGAGACGCCAAACCCAATCAATTTAGGGAAGCCTAGGCGTTGCTATGTTTTGAAAATTAAATTTCTATGACTATCTAACCCCAACTTCAATGAAACTGCAAACCCAAATTGCGCGGCGCAAAAACTACCGATTTGCACCGCCAGATGTCGCTCCATTAGCACCTCATTTTATAGCGATTCGATCAATTTTTATTTTTTACTGCTTGTGGAGACGTCCGCAAAATAATTTTGGTAGCATATTTTTAAAGTCTAAAAATATGCAAAAAGAAATCCTCAGGTTTGTCTTGGTCGAGTGGCTCAAACTTTACGCGGGGATGGAGGATATTGTTATAGATTATATATTTGACATTACGTACTTATTACATTTTTTATAGTGCTAAAGTGACCTTTCTCCAAAGAAAGTACAATAGATTTAAACACAATATTACTATGCAGAAAATGATGTGTAGAATAGTAAATTAATGTAGAGTATGAAAATGCGTGCAATACGAATTGACATTGAATTTATCAGAATTATCATTATAACACATTCAATCCAGCTCGTGTCTGTGGAGGAAAGAAAAACTTTCTTTGTGAAATGACGTTTATTACCTCTTCATCGGTATCTATAAATGGTTAATGACTGGACTAAACCTGGAATGGTAGACTAAAAACTGGATGGTTCGTTTTTATGGAGGATGAAATACTTGCTCTTAAGACTGCTGTTGGAGACTCCCAGCCTTCCAGAATGCAATACAAACACTTTAAAGTCTTTTGGGTCGCGTTCGAGAATAAGAATATCAATTGGAATCTTTTACACTTCAACAAAGAAAACGTCGCGACTGTAATGAAGATGCATCGGAACGTATTTGTAAAGCAACTGAAAATCAAAACGTGTTGTTTCCCAGAAAGACAACTGGTTGTTGTGGGACCCTGAATTCAAGTGAAAAACTGAACATCATTCTGGTCAAAATATTTTGAGATTACATTCTATGAATTTGATATTACGTAATAGTGATCTGTTGTCCATGAACTTGAACACTTAAGTTGAAGGTTATTCCAAATCAACGCACTTTCTTACTATACAGTTACGTGAATGTAAATGTTCCAATTAATTTCACACTATTTACGTTTTGATAAAATATATATTAATTTAGTTTGTTATCATCCTTACTTAAATTTGTAGAATGAAAAGCAAACACCACACAAAGTGTAAAATGGCTTGTTTTCTCTGGAGTTTTTTAAAAACGTTCTGCTTTTCACAGTATTTTCGCCGCTCATATATAAATATTACCCTGTACTTTGTTATCATACTAATGTGAAGGCCACGAATGGAATGAGAAGAAAACAAAATAAACAGAAAACAATAACAAATACAAAATAAACCGAGTCTGTGCGGTGACAGAAACCGGTATGTGAAACGCGAATGGAAACGAGCAGTGGGTCGTTCGGCCGGTAGACCCGTGCCACTTGCGGCCGGCGAGGACAGCGTGGGGTCTGGCCGCTCCGACCCACTGTGGGGACGATTAGTGGGCGAGGGCAAGTGTGACAAGTCCATGACAGGCGAGCGAAAGCGCGACGAGCACGCGGCGCGCTGATTGAGTATGCGC